GAAGAGCGTTTCCTAGTGAAGAATGGAAATAAAATTCCCTGGTTTCGTCCCTACCTCAGCCTTGAACCCTGTTTCCCCACGTAGCTTATCTCAGATCTTGGTGATGCTGTCAATCATTCTCTCCCCTTCCAATGATGCCATTACCGGGGAAGAAAAGCACGCAGGCGAGGGACGAACGGGGTACCTGCTCCGTCAGGAACGAAGGCTTGTAGGCGCCGTCTGTGGACTTGTTCCCGGTGCCCCGCATGGACTTCATGTGCGAGACGGCCATGCGCAGGATGGTGAGCTTGTCTGGCTTCCGGGCCAGCGCGCTGCACGTGGGGACCATGTCAGAGAGCTCAGTGATGTACTGGGTCATCTTGTTCCGCCGCCTCCTTTCAATCTCACTGTGGTTCTCTCTTCCCGAAAGCACGAGATCAGGAGAGGGGGAAAGAGAAGGATCAGACTGATCAGTCTGACGGTGTAAAACAGCACGTACATCGTTAACGCCAAGTAACCAAAAGACTAGCTCGTAATGACTAATTCAGTGGCTTTGAACACATCTTGGGCAGAGCAGCTCCCCGACACGTTAGCAAGTTTCTTTCTCGGGGGGGTGGGGTGGGGACAGGCTGCTACAGATGCCTCAGACTCACCTCTAAATATGTACTCAAAGCTTTCCACTGCTCCCAGGTACCTAAGTACTTTTTAAAAACCATAAAGAATGAAGACATTATCCTTCAGGCATCCAAAGTGAACTCAACATGCTTTCCATGTGCACCCACAGATCTGTACATGTTACGTGTGCGCACGCACGCACACACACACACACGCGCGCGTGCGCACACACACTGAATGTAGTTACCATCTGCTTCAATACGTGGTTTACTTTGACCCCCAGTGAGAAACATGTCTAGCCTTGCCATTCTTGGTGTCACTGAACAGACAGCCACGCCACAGACCTACGTCACATCAAGTTGTGAACGCGCCTTTGCACTATGTGCAGCACATTTTCTGCAGCTTAGTAACAGAACAGGTGCACCCCGCTCACTAAACAACAGAGAGCCAATTAAAAAGCCCAGCACTGCCAGGAATTCTGAGAGCAACCCTCGCTGACGTGTTAAGATGCTAAACTAGCAAAAGGGATGATAGAATGTTTCTGTCTCGAGATTATCACCTCTAGGCTTGAAAGGGAGTAACAGCCAACCCAGTTCAACGACACTGAGACAAAGCTGTCACCTTGGATAAAAGAACTGTCTGAAGGGTACATCACACGTCCGTTGTAGGATTTAGGGTTTCACAGGTGCTCAAAGTATGAGGGCGACACTAAGAGCAAGAAAGGAGGCACCCCAGGCAAGGCTACCTCGCACACTGCATGTATCCATGGGGCTTCGCACCCCACCCTCCCAGGCTGGGAGCAGACGCCAGGCAGGCCTGATTACAGGCAGGTGTCACGTGAACACGCAAACAAACCAAGGGGGGCGAGCTAAGCCGGGCGGCCTGGTGAGCACCTTCCATACAAAAAGCACTGAGCCGGGTGCACAAGGGGGAGGGGACGAAGGAACCAGGGAATGTCCCGCTCCTATCCTAAAGCAGCTAAGTACCAGTTAGGATGGTAAAACATCACCTTGCATAGTAGAAATGAAGGCAGAATGTGATTAAATGCTCCCAGAGGCACATGGAAAGTAAAGACCCCAGGAGAAAATAAGAGAGGAGAGGGGGAGGTGCTCCTGGAAGGGGTGGGGGAGGAGCTGGGAGGGAGCTGGCCCTGATCCGGCAGCAGGTAAAGGGGGCGTATTTTGGCGGGAGAATCAGCAGGATCAAAGAAAGGGCTGGAATTGGGATGCAGCCTCTGTGGGCAGGAGCAGACAGGCCTGGGTGCAGGGGCGGTCCTGCGTGAGAAGCCGGGCTGGTAACAGGGCCTGGGTCTCCCACACCCCTCAGCTGGCTGCTGGGGAGACGTTCGGAGGTGGGTGAGTCCTGCGGGGAGGCAGGAGGAAAGGGCAGCTGAGGCCAGCAAGGGGACTCCTGGGGCAAGGTCTCCCCTCCTGCCCACAGCGAGGACCCTTGGCAGCGGACTAGGGAGCACAGGAAACAGCCAGAGGCAGTCCAAGCACCCCTGCTGCACGGGGCAAGGGAGGATGCCCACTGTTCAGGAGAAACGGCTCTCGGCTCTCAGGTTCCTGGGCGGGGGCTCGTATGCGGTGGAGAGAGAAAAGACAGCCAAGCAGAAGGGGTCCATCACAGAGACGGGGTGAGTGGGGAGAAGGGGGCATTTGGTCACGGGACTCCTGTGTGCCCCAGTCTTCATCACCGTCACCCACTTGTGCCCTCTGCACACACCTGTCACAGGCGACCTGGAGTCGCTGGCCCACTGTGCACTGTGCATCGGGAGGGCCAGGGTGAGCTTGCTCGGGGTCGTGCTCTCCACCCTGCCAGCCCGCACCTCGTCGAGGCAGACAGGAGCGGAGATGGTGTGCAGAGAACGCTGCCTGGGACTGCTGAAGGGTGTGTTGGACAGAAACTCTGGCCATGCAGGAACAGTACATTACGATGCGGAATGCACATCCCTCCCGGGGGGCCCTGGACATGCTTCCCCGTATCTCCTGCTCAGAGACACTCCCGAACCCTAACTTGCTCCTACGGCTTGCCGTCTAAGTTCCACCTCCTCAGCTTGATTTTTAGGACCCCCGCCTGCACCCCAAGTCAGGGCCCACCCACTTTTCCGCCCTGTGTTCCAGCAGGCGCTCAGCTCCTTCACTCGCCTCACAGCACAGGAACGCGCTGCCTTCAGGGCAGCCCACGGAGACGTGTTTCTTCCCCTCACACTCAGCCTGCGTCGGATCTTTTCTAAATACCTCCCGGTTCTCTTCTGCCTTCTCCTGGCCCACGCCCACCGGCTGGCACCACCTCTTACCCCCTCACCTCGGTGCCACCAGCCTCCGCAGTCTGGTCACCTCTCTCATCTCATCGCCCTCAGTTCGGTCGGCGTGCTGTGACTGGGCGGATATTTCCAAAGACGCAAACCCAGATCTTCCCTTTCCAGCCGTTCAGTGATGCCCCAAACCCACAGGGCCAAGTCCAAGCCCCCTAGTTACCACAGCAACTGCGCCAAGACTGGACCAGGGCACGCCTGCTTCTGATCCTATTTCCAAAAGGGCCACAGACCACCTCGCTTTGTAAACGTCTGGGGGAAGAGTCTTTGTGAAGTTCTTACTTCACAAAGTTCTTATGTGGATCTAAAGCAATTTCATCACGGCACTGGATAAACCCAACTCATGAGATCAGGTGCTTGACGGAGACACGAGGGCAACTGTTTAAAAGTGACTGTATTGACTGACCAGTGCAGAAAATGCTCCAATCATTTCACAAAATAAGACTGAGTTACCAACAGAAGGTCAAAATGACAAAGAGCTGCCAGTTACCTAGCAACAGGATAAATGAGTGTAGCTACTGAATCTATTAAAATATGTATATGTCTATTCATATACATGTATGTATATATAGTTCCATTTTGAAAGATCATGGAGGCAAGAACCAGGAAAAACACCCTCTTGGGAAAACAGAAGGAAGTGTCCCCAGGACCCAGGCCACCTCCTCCACAGGGTGTGGGCCGACGCGGGGTCTGCTTGGAGGAGCTGCAGGGGCAGCCTGTGACTTTGGCATCTGAGTTTCGTGTGCCCCACGCGCAGCATCAATAAAGCAATGAGCCCCTCTGTACGTGGGCACAGGGGCAAGGGCTCTGCAGCAGTGACAGCTGAGGACGCAGGCACAGCCGTCGGCTGTAACACCTCTGCTGGGACAAGAGGGTCCCCAGCCTGGCCCAGGAACACGGTTGCAGAAACTAAGGGCAAGAAAGAGGAACTCGGCTCCCGAGGCTGACCTCCTAAGGGTAATCGGAGCAGTGAGATACACGTCCATCCTGATTAAATACAAAATAGGGGTGCTTTGGAAATCTCAATAAAGATCTTCCTTCAACTCTGTGGATGGCAGCTGAGTCTCCCGTCTCTGGTGGGAAGGGAACGACAGACCTGCACAGGCAGACGGACAGGACAGCTCCACGCCGGGGCCAGGTCTCCCGGTCACCACAGACCCGAGACACCTGGGGCACCTCAGGGTCTGAGTGCTGGGGGCGGGCAGGCAGGACAGATGCTGACAGACCAGCAAAGGCAACAGAGAGTGGGCAGGCAAGGACACAGTCCCTGTGCACAGCAAGCCCCCTACATACAAACCTTCAAGTTTCGAACTTTCAAAGATGCGAACGTGCATCTGATCCCAGCAAGGAACCAGAACCTGTGCCATCAGCGTCAGGCGTGAGTGACATCGCAGCTCGCCCTCCGTCTCCTGTTGCTGATGATCCTTCAGCTCTACCATCTCCCACCTCCTCTCCCTCGTCCAGTCAGTAACTCTTCTTGCCTGTTCACTCGATGCCAGCCCCTGGATGCCAGCTGTTGTACTGTGCTACTGCACTTTTCAAGGTACTGTATTGTAATAGTCAAAATGTTTTCTTTATTTTTTGTGTTTGTCTTTTATGTATTATTTGTGTGATAAGTATTATAAACCTATTCCAGTACAGTACTAGAGAGCCAACTGTGTTAGCTGGGGACCTAGGCTAACTCTGCTGGACTTACGAACAAACAGGACTTAAAACAAAAGTCCCGAGAAATCTTCAGGAACCCGAGGGCCCCCAGACCCTGCATGCCCCTTAGGCAGGCCTGGCTGAGAGGAGCGTGTGGTAAACCTAAGTCCTCCAGCTGCCTCTCTTTGTTCTTGTCACCAACTGTGAGCCCTGGGGGTGGCAGACAGCCTGACACCATCAGGGACACGACCAGCTCCCTCTCGGCCTGGTCACCCACACAGCCAGGTCCCAAACCTGAGAAGTCAGTGCTGACACCCACCCCCCGCCATTGCCAGCTTAGTAGCTCCACGGGTGACAGGACTGTTGGTACAGCAGCCCTGCTCCAGGTGGGACCAGGGCCACGTTCCTCTATGACACCTCAGCTTCCACCACCACCTCCTGACACACACGCTGCTCTCCAGGCCACCACGGTCTCAATAACAGACCAGCAGGAAACAAGCAAAACGCCTCTTCTGTCCACTTGGATACACACGGCCAAGCAGCAGTAAAGGTCTGATTCGGTAAAGGTCTTCAGCACTTCTCATGCAAAAGAAGCATCCATCCCCTCCAGCCAGGGGGGAGTCAGACTGTGGGAGGAGACCCTTTGCAGAGGTGCAGACCATCTGTCCTTCAGGACTGGGATGGGGAACCATCCTGACCAAGGGGGTAGGATTTTGGGGGGGGGGGTTCCACATGAATCCTTGCCGGCTGGCAGCAGCCTCAGGCTCAGACTGGCCCTGGTTCCTCCTCCCTGACACCAGGAGGGAGACTGTATCTTGCAAGCTTTCAGGGAACACCCTTCCT